AGCAGGCCAGGCAGCATCAGAGGAGCAGGAAAGCTGACGTTTTGGGTTGGGACCCTTCTTCAGAAATGAAGAAGGATCCCAACCTGCAATGTCAGCTTTCCTGATCCTCTGATGCTGCCTGGCCTGCTGTGTTCCTCCAGCTCCACACTATGTTATTTCTGATTCCAGCATCGGCAGTTCTTACTATCCCTTGTATATTATTAATCTACTTTTAAAACTAGAAATCTTTTCTAATTTCTCCAACAGCCTTGTTAACTTGTCCTGCCATCTCCAAAATTTTCTTTACGCAAACACCCAAGTCTCTTTACTCCTCTCAATTTTGTTTTAATATGGAACAATTATTTTACATTCCATGTGTACTTATTTATCACATCTTCAGTGGGTTCCAAATGCAGTGAACGTAGGAACAGAAGCTCAACATTTAACCCTTGTGCCTGCTCCATCAGTTAAAAAGACCACGGCTGTAGCTGCATCTCAAATCTATTCCTCTGCCCTCCCTTCATATTCCTTGATATCCTTGCTTAACAAATTGCTTTTGATGTGCAGCTATTATGGGTAAGCAGGTGCATTCAACAAATAACTCGTGCAAAGCAAGATTTAACATTCCAACTATCTGAGTTCATTCCACATTCCAAGACCTGAACAGATAACTTCCCTGAACATTCACGCCATATGCAGGTGAAGACTTGCTCCATCAAAAGTGCCGGTAATGCCTTCAGATCAGCCAGAATCCAAGGGCAGATCCATAAGCATGTAGGTAGCCTGGCCCTGAGGCCAGAGAGTGCAGACAGAAGTGAAAGGTCAGCATAGAACACAAACATGTGAAAATTTCAGCAAAGTGCAGCATCCACACTATAACTGGAGTTGGCCTACATAGAACACAACATTGTAAGAGAAGGCTCTACAGCTCCCAGCAGCAAAAGAGGAGATCTGTAAACTTAACAGTGCACCTTTGTCTTGATATTCACGGTGTCAACACTAATGTGTCATTGCTATGGTGTACCAGGCATATGCCATGGTTTGCTAGAAGTTCAAAGCTGTTCTCTTGTCCCACAGGACTGAACTGTCACTGCAACACAAGGCATTTAGGTACCGAAGGGCAGAGAAAGACATGGATTCCAGGGAAACACTTGACCAAACCGAAGCATAAAGCTCACACAGAGTGATTCTTTTCCCCTGCCAGCCTTTGGGGAGAATGGGCAGAATGTCAAAATTTGCTGGAGCTTTCGAAACAGCATCACCCAATGTTGAGTTGCATCTGAAGACCCACAAGAATGGCAATCACACGATTCCCATTCTAATATTGAGGTTTCCTCAGCTCTGAGTCAGTCTCAAAAGAAGGATAAAGGGGATGAAATAGTCCTGGTCAGGCTTGAACTTAACAACATTGGCCTTGCATGCAAGCTGTGCACTAAAACCCACAGCACTGCCCCCAGAGCCCAATATACGGGCACAGGTGATGACGAATAGTATTGCCCCGTTTTGCACCCCGACTCCATTTTCTTTTCCATTAGGGACCTGAAGGCACTTCACGAACAACGGACTGCTTTCAAATGTCATCCTGTCACTGAGGTGAAGGTGGCAGCCATTCTGACACAGCAAGATCCCATAAACAGCAACCAAATTATCACACAGAGTCATAGCCACCATTTGGATTTTCATTCCTCAGCACATCCCCAGCCGCCTTGTCCCCAAACCCACTCCACAACCCCATCGATTGCACAGCAGCTCAAAAGGCCTTCATTTTTGCCAACTGTTAGTCGCAGTGTGCCTTAAATCAAAGCCCAGCTCCCACTTGAACTGTATTAGACAGCAAAAAAAATCTTCCCAGCAGAAGATGAAACTCCTCGAGAGTGTCTCATTTTAACAATCCCATTCGGCGTGTCCGCTCCAGTTGCTGATAAAGATTATTGCAGGCACTGAGGCCTCCCTCACCACATTTAAATCAAAAGAGACGATTGAAAAATTGTCCCCTGCACCCTTTTACATTTCTGCCAATATCAACAGCAGTATATACAGTAGAAGCAGAAAATCTGTTAAACCGTTACCTTCTTTGCTGCCCTCATCTCGAACAGCGTAAGAACTGTCAGCGAGTCTATCTATCAAGGCAACTAGACACTGCTCAGAAAATGCACGAGTATAGAGGGGCCAGCTGTCTAGTCTCTCTTTCACGTGTTCTGTCCTCCTTGCTTGCTTGTTCTCTCTCTCTCTTGCTCTTGCTCTCTAAATTCCAGTCCATGAAAAAAAAATGCAGAGTCCAGAACACACCGACACCATCCACTGCACTGTTTATTTCTCTCTCTTCCTTTCATAGATAGCTCCAGAAAAAAAAAATTCAACCTTCAAGTTATCTCCTGAATCACTGCAAATGTTAAAAAAACGTAATCTCGCTTTCGTGCTTGTTTTCCAACTTACTAGCCTACTCCGACAGGAGACGCAGCACATAATCCGAGAGGTTGTCCATTGTTTTATCCCATTAGCATTTTGTAAACTGCATCGATCTGTTCCTTTCTCTAAACGCCCTCTGGAATTTGCAAAGGCTTCTGGCTAACAAGCTTTCCAAATGTCTTGAAGCATCATCAATCCCTCGCTTCAGTAAGCTCTTACTTAACTTCTTTGTTTCACTTTTCGCCATGAAACAATCTTTGAATCCTGACAGCTCATCTACTCTACGTTGCCTTGGCTACCTTAATGCCCGCTAACATATGGCAGCCTGGTTCACAGCCAAGTTTGCAACAACAACAACCTACATTTATATGGTGGCATGAATACAGTCAAATGTCCCCCGAGTCGAGGCAAACACACAATTTAAAGCTGTCCAAAAGCCCTTTCCTGGACTTTTTGGATTATTTAATCTCTTATGATCACTTTCTATAATTCTGCCTGGCATTTATTCGACATGATATTCTTCCCAGTACCCAACTGTAGGTGGCTTGGCTACATGCAGTGGTAGTATCTCAACCTCCAGGCCAGGAGGCCCAAGTTCAAGTAACCATGGCTTTCTAGTTAGAAGTTGTGTTTCAGGGGGTTATAACTCTAATGATTCTGAGTGCTGGCATGAGTTTCTCACAATTGCAGTGGTCTACATTTTCCTCCATTCTAACTACATGAAGACTTCTATGCAAATATTCCTGGCTTGGAAACTTAACGCTTCTTCTGAGGCAACTGATTCCTCTGAATTGGCCTGATTCTCCAACTAGCAGACTCCTCTAACCTCTGGAATCTTTTGAATCAAAACTCTGAAACTTTTGTTCTGAGGTCAAATCTAAAACAAATTGCTTTACAGTGTGTACTCTGCCTGTCATGAACCCAGCAGTATAAACTTTTTATCCTTTAACACTCCACAGTTCTCCTAAGCAAAGATCTGACATCAAGTAATAAAAGATGATACCAAAACAGGTGATTAAAAACATTAGAAGAAGAGGTAGGCTTTAAAGAAGTGGCTTAATAAATGAGGTGATAGAGAGACAGCGACTTAAGGTAGAAAGTCCAGTGCACTTTTCAAAAATTTATTGACATATTGAGCCATTGCAATTATACATACATTGCCAAAACAGCTGAATCTCAGAGGTAAGGTGTTAACATCAAGACTGCATTTGACTGAGTGTCACTTCATGGAGCCCAAACAGAACTATAATCAATAGGAACTTGGGGAAAATCTCTCTGCTGGTTGGACTCATATCTAGCACAAAGGAAAGTAATGTGATTGTTGGAAGTAACTCATCTCAGCTCCATAATATCTCTGCAGTAGCTCCTCAGGGTAGATAGCTTCATAAATGACCTGTTCAAAGATTCTATTACTCACTTCTGGAGTAAGTGGAAATAGTTCACGGGTATGGACACTACCACTCTGCCAAAAAGCCCCCTAAGTTCTTCAGCATTTTTTCTTAGGCCCAACCACTTCCAGCTGCTTCACCTTCCCATCCATTATGAGCTCAGAAATGGGGAAATTCGCTGACAATTGTACACTATTTAACATAATATGCAAATCCTCAGTTACTGAAGCAGTTCATGTCCAAATGCAACAAAGCCCGGGTAATATCCAGGTCTGGGCTGACAAGTGGCAAGTAACCACTTGTCAGGCAGTGACCATCTCCAACAAGAGAGAATCTAATCATTGCCACTTGACATTCAATGGCATTACCATCACTGACTCCCCCACTATCAACATCCTGGGGGTTATCATTGACCAGAAAGTGAACTGGACTAGCCACATAAACATAGTGCCTACAGGAGCAGATTACAGGATGGGAATTTTGTATTGAGTAACTCACAAGCTGACTCTCCAAAGCCTGTCCATCAATTTACAAGGCACAAGTCAGGAGTATTATTGCATGCTCCCTACTTGTCTGAATGAGTCCAGCTTCAACAACATTCGAGAAGCTTGACACCATCCACGGCAAAGCTGTCTGACTGATCGGCGCCACACCCACAAACATCCTCTCTCTCCACCACCTACCCTCAACAGCAGCAGGGTGTAGAATTGACAAGGTGACTGTAGAATTTCACCAATGTTCCCTAGACAGCACCTTTCAAACCCACGTCCACCATCTAGAAGGACAAAGCTATGAAGGTGTATAGCAACACCATCGCCTGCAAGTTCCCCTCCAAGCCACAAACCATCACTGTTCCTTCAGTGTTGCTGAGTTAAAATCCTGCAACTCCCAACTTAATGGCATTTTTGGTCTGCCTACCCCACCAAGGACTGCAGCGGTTCAAGAAGACAACTCATCACCAAGGGCAGCTAGAGATGGGCAATAAATGCTGGTCCAGCCAGCTATGTCCACATGACATGAATGAAAAAAAACAACCCCATGGTTTAGATAGCCCCATTATTGTAGAAAATGAGGGCATTAGCATAAAGAGCTATCAGGGCAGGTAAATAAAGTTTAGCCTGGGTGGTAGGTTTGAATGAGTGCCTCAAAGGCTGAGAGGGAAGTGGAACTTTGGGTCATTGTCTGTCACAAAGAATGAAAACTTGGATGCACCAAACTGGCAAAGTGCGAAGTGGATGGGCGCATGGATCAAAGAGGGTTGTAGAGCTGCAGGAGATTACAGAGATAGGAAAGGTGAGGCGTAGAGGTATTTGAAAACATCTGCCAGACCAGGAGTCAGTTTAGGCCAGTAGGTAATGGAATAAAGGGTTCTTAGGACTTAAACTAGATCACAGACAGCAGATCTATGGCTGAGCACTAGTTGAGGAATGGTGCAAGGTGGAAGCCCAATCAGGATAGTATTTGAATGGGCAAGTCTACAGTAACAAAAGCATCCATGAGTGTGCCTGATTGCACCAGCACTTAATTCTCTGAGATAGCACATAACTGCCACCTAAGCAACACAAGTTAGAATTTGAAAGATTTTCTCTTACCTCAGAAAGCTGTGACCATGATGATCTGATTGGCTTGAACTGCACGACTATTCTCTCGTCTGACTTCTGCCCTACTGTTTGCACATTCTGATCTGCATCCTCATCTGAATCTCCGTTATTCAGTGTCAGAGCCTTCTCTTTATAGTTCTGATAAAGTACTGCATTTTCTGCAAACAAAAGTCGACGATATGCAAATTGAAAGATTTGTATTTCCAGAACAAGATACACATCCTTGCGTGAACGACCCCAGTGTCCTTTATATCCAATGAAGCATTTCCTGAAAAGTAGTCAATGTTGCAATGTAGGAAATATGGAAACCAACTTGACACAACAAGATCCCACAAACAGCAATATGGTAATGGAAAAGATGACCTGTTTTTAGTGATGTTGGTTGAGGGATAAACATTGGCCACAATACCAGATAGAACTTCCTTGTCCTTCTTAGGAATAGAGCCATGGGACTTTTGTGCCACTGAGAGAGCAGGAAGGGTTTCATGTTAACATCTCATTGAAAAGGCAGGAGTTCTACCAACGCATAGCGCATGCTTGAAGAGGGTTCAGAGAAGTTACCAGGATTACAGAGGTGAGTGATACCAGGTACATGGAGACACCATTGAGAACTTTGATCGATTGCTTTAGATGAGAAGGAGAAGGTTCAACAGGGGTATTCAAACTTATGAATGATTTTCATTGAGTAAACAAGAATAAACTGGCAGGAAGATTAAAACCAAATGTTTATAGAATGAAGCTCATTGGCAAAAGAACAAGAGGGGAAATGAGTTTTTTTGCGTGATTTGTTGTTATGGTCTGCCTTAAAGGGAAGTGGAAGCAGATTGACAATACCTTTCAAAATAATTAGATAAATACTTTGAAATGAAACATATTTAGTGAACTGGGAAAGAGTGGGGCTGAGAGATAGTAGGAACTGCAGATGCTGGAGAATCTGAGATAACAAGGTCTAGAGCTGGATGAACACAGCAGGCCAAGCAGCATCAGACGAGCAGGAATGCTGACGTTTCGGGCCTAGACCCTTCTTCAGAAAAATCAGAGTGGGGATGAGTGAGCTGGCTAATTGCACAGTTCCTTAAAATAGGTGGTACACACATGATGAACTGATTAAGCTCTTGTGCTACAACATAAAAAAGCAAAAGAAATAGAAACAGGAGTAAGCTGTTCAGCCTATCAAACCTTCTCCACCATTCTGTATGGTGACCTGATAGAGTCATGGAGTCATACAGCATGGAAACAGACCCTTCGGTCCAACCAGTCCATGCCGACCATAATCCCAAACTAAACTAGTCCCACCTGCCTGCGCTTGGTCCATATCTCTCCAAACCTTCCCTATTCATGAACTTATCCAAATGCCTTTTAAACTGTATTCACATTCACCACTTCATCAGGAAGTTCATTCCACACACAAACCACTCTGTAAAAAAGTTGCCGCTTATATCCTTTTTAAATCTTTCTCCTCTCACCTTATAAGTATGGCCCCTGGTTTTGAACTCCCCCATGCTTTGGAAAAGACCCTTGTCATTCACCTTATCTATATCACTCATGATTTTATAAACCTCAATATGGTCACCTCTCAACCTCTTATGCTCCAGTGAAAAAAGTACCAGCCTTTCCAGTCTATTTTTATATCTCTAACCCTCCATTTCCGGCAACATCGTGGTAAATCTTTTCCAAACCCTCTCCAGTTTAATAGTATCCTTCCTATAACAGGGTGCCAGAACTGCACACGTTACTCCAGAAGAGGCCTCACCTATGTCCTATACAACCTCAACTTGACGTCCCAATGCCTATATTCAAAGGCAATGAATCGCAAGCTTTCCAAATACCATTCCAAACATCCTGTCTACCTGTGACGCAAGTTTCAAAGAATTGTCTACCTGAACTCCTAGGTCTCTCTGTTCTACCATGCTACCTACAGCTTTACCATTAATTGTATAAGTCCTATCCTTGTTTGTATTACCAAAATGCATCACATTTATCCAAATTAAACTCCATTGCCACTCCTCAGCCCCTTTGACGTAATTGATCAAGATCTCTTCTTGACTTCAACTCAATTTTTTTGCTTGTTCTCATCATGCTCAACTCCCCCATAGTTCAAAATACTGTATTCCTCTGATTCAAGAACATTTCCCAACTTTGAATCTATTCAATGATCCAGTCTTTATAGCCACCTAAGCTAAAAAGTTCCAAAAGTTAACAATCCAGGAGAAAAACAAATCTTTTCATTTTCATCTTAAATGGGAAATCCTTTACGCTGAAACCAAATGCCCTGTTCTAAATTTCCTCACATGGGGAAGCATCCTCTCAGAATTTCCTGTCAAACTCCCTCAGAATCTTACGTGTTGTAAGTAGATCACCTCGCATTCTTCGTAACTCCAATGAATATAGTGCTAACTTACTCAACCTTTCTTTACAAGACAATCCCTCCACCTAAGGAATCAGCCTAGTTCGTCTTTTCTGAACTGTCTCAAATGATAGTTTATCTCTTCTTAAATAAGGAGACCAAAACTGTACACAGTACTGCACATGCGGTCTCCTGATTGCCTTGTTTAATTGCCACAACATTTCCCCAGTTTTACATGCCATCCTCCTTGTGATAAAGACCAACATTCCATTTGCCTTTCTAATTACTTACTGTACCTGCACACTAAAATGTTTGTGTTCTATGTTAAGCAACAACAACAAACTGTGTAAAGCATTAATGAGTGACAAAAACTGTTCTCAGTAAGAGGTAACTATTTATATATGCACTGGTGAAATGACAAGAAATTGATTGATGGTTGGCACCAGTGTTGGAGGCATGCCCAGTTTGCTATGCTTCAATTACATAGACCATTGAGGTTCTTTTCAAAACAGGAGGTAATTCCAAAGAGAACGCAGTGTACCTAACTTTTGGACTCAAACTGGGTAGCTATTACTTTGAGAAAATCATTTATGAAATTTTACATTTTACACAGTGTCGAGCATGGTCAGCAGAACTTCTCATTTTAAAATGTGCACTCTCTCCAAATCAAAGTTGCACAAAATCTTTCCTTTTGCTTTGGAAGGAAAATGAGGAATAAGGGTCACTTCAATGCCAGAAGAATGACATCACCTGCGGGTGAGGCACTGATACATTTTGAAATTATGCCAATTAGTTTCATTTTGCTCAGGTAAACATATCTTTGTGTGATACTCCAAAGCAACTGCTAATCTCATCGGAAAAACCCTTTGTACAAACACATGGAACAAAGGCAGGAGAATGGGAATGGGAGGAGGCTATTCAGCCCTTCAGTCTTGTTGTGCTATCCAATTTGCTCATGGCCGATTTGGGCTGAACTACAACAATGCAACTATATCACCATTTTGGTAGGAAAACATTCCAGATTTCCATCAGTTGTGTGAAGAGGTACTTGCTGATATAACCCTTGAACAGGAAGCCTCAAATTTTAATGACTTTTTTCCCCTTTTTGTTCTGGGCTTCCCTCACCAACGGGGGGATAAAGTTTCTCTCTATCTGTACTATCAAATCCTTTAATTAAGCCTGTTTGAGGCACTCAATCTAATACCTTCAACATTCATTCCCACTACCACGAGCGCACAGTGACAGCACCATCTGCAAGGTGCACTGCAATAATTCCCTCAGCCACCTTCCAAACCCAGGACATCCACCACTTGGAAGGATAATAGCAGCAGATACTTACGAACACCACCATCTGCAAGATCCCTTCCAAGCCACTCACCATCCTAACTTATAACTGCATTGCCGTTCCTTCACTGTCACTGGGTCAAAATCCTGGACCCTCCTTCTGCATTCTGAAGAAGGGTCCAGACCCGAAACATCAGCTTTCCTGCTCCTCTGATGCTGCCTGGCCTGCAGTGTTCATCCAGCTCTACACCTTGTTATCTTAAATTCAGGGATGTCTGGTAACAGGCTGGTGATCGACGTTCACCAGATAACCGTCGAGGTGAAAATTAGCCCAGTGCAAATTGGCAGCAAGCACACTGCAAGTTTTTGAATGTGTTACGTGCAAACTGCCCAAGCATGATAGGTAAGAATTTGCATTTTTTTACCTCCTGCTGTATTCCCTTATTCTTACTTGTGTTTCAATGCTTCAATTCCAAGTGTAGTCACTAGCGTTCCACATAAATGAATGATCAGCCAGCATGGAACTGCACATCACAGCATGGAACTGCACAGCACAGCATGAGTCCATTCAGCCCATTGTACCTCATCTGTTTCTTTGAATGAGCCATCCCATTAGACCCCTTCATCTGTTGTTTCCATTCAACATCCCTAACAAAATCCCATGCTCATGATCATGTTGCTGTTTGTTGAAGTCACTTGTGTCCATATTTTCTCCATTACCACCACAATTATATAATCTTTTGATCATTAGCTACTGCATTCCACTTGGCAACATCTTTACCAATCAGAGTCTACTTGTCAATTTGTCAGTACTCTTTTCCTGTACAGTATAAATTTTTTTTTTCTCTTTATTGGTATTCTTGCAAATTGTCCTGATAAGTGCACTATAGAAAACTCCAACAAAATGCGTCAATTCTCAGCAAGACTAAAATAAAATCCTGAGGTCAATTTGACCCACTGATTAGCGGGTACACTTCGAGGGTAGTTAAACAGTTGCTAATTTGTAGCAAAATCCTGATGAAACACTGAGATACAGGCAGGAGATGTGATGATCCAAAGCTGGTTGATGAACTTTTTCTCTCGTGATAGCTATTGTCTTTATTTCTCTCCTCCTTTTGCCCCTCGATTATTCAATAATTTTTGAATGTTGCTAGTGTTTTCTACTGTGAAGACTCATGCAAAGTATTTACTCAAAATCAATTTATACAACTCCTATGCCATTACCTAGTTTGCCATTATTATTTCCCTAGCCTCATTCTCTAAAAGGCCTATATTCAATTTGGCTTCTCCCTCCCTTTTCATATATTTTAAGATGAACTTGTTGTCTATCTTGATATTACTGGTAAGTTTACCCTCCAAGTTTAATTTCTTTCTTTTTTTTGTCGTCTTTTGTTGGTTTTTAAAACTTTCCAAATCCTCTGTCTTACGACTAACTTTTGCTACATTGTATATTTTTCCTTTTAATCTGATGCTATCCTTAAATTCCCTAATTAACCATGGTTGGCTTATCTCCTTCCTCTCACTGGGATATGTCTTAAACTCCTGAGTTCTGAGGAAGAGTCACCAGATCAGAAATGTTAATTCTGATTTCTCTCCACAGATGCTGCCAGATCTGCTGCAATTTTCCAGCAATTTCTGTTTTTGTTTCTTAAACATCTGCCATTATTTCTCAAACGTCCTTGCTGATAAACTCCTTCCCCAGACCACTCTGCAATTATCGACGTAAAACTGGGGTTGATTCAAAATGCTTTACAACATCATGATGGGCATGGTTAAAGTGAATAGCCAAGGTCTTTTCCTCAGGGTAAGGAAGTCCAAAACAGGATGGCATAGGTTTAAGGTGAGAGGGGAAAGATTTAAAAGGGACCTAAAGGGCAACTCTTTCATGCAGAGGGTGGTGCATGTATGGAATGAGCTACCAGAGGAAGTGGTGGAAGCTGGTACAACTACAACATTTTAAAAGGCATCTGGATGGTTACTTGAATAGGAAGGGCTTAGTGGGAAATGGGCCAAATGCTGGCAAATGGGACTAGATTAAATTAGAATATCTAGTTGGCATGGACAAGCTGGACCGAAGGGTCTGTCTCTGTGCTGTACAACTCAATGAGTCTATGACTGTTTGTTTGAAGATTTTAACATCAGCTTTTTTCCAGTAATTATGGTTTGGAAGAAACCTTGAAATTGGACAAAGGAAAATTACTTCTGACGCACTATCTGGAACTTTGAGTGTTCATACAGTTACGTATCCCTGTGTATTAATCTTATGCCTTTAAGTTTCTAAGTAACTTTCTTTCAAGTGAGTGTAAGTGGTTTCACACACTGTCCTCCAGGAATGATAGCATTCTGGACATTTACATTGACAGCAATCACGTCACAGGCATCAATCTGGTATCAGTCACAAAGCTGTTCTTTTGAACTTGCACCATAATGATGTCACTCATTAAGAACACTCAATACAAGGTATGAATCTGACAGTTACCTTCCCCATCAAATGGGCCCTTGTTCGGCAGCTGCTTCTTCTCGAATTCCTTTCCACAATGAGAAGAGAAAAATAAAAGCGAGTTAGTGTTTGTGATTGCCTTTCTGCCTGCAATCATTCATAACATTCCACCGGAAGCATTCTTGTGATGGAGAGATAGACACAGAGAGAGAAAGAGGGAGAAACAGACAGTGAAGAGGTGGAGGAAAGACAAACAAACAGATGTGCACAGAATTCTATGGGAAAACAAAACCTGTATTTACACTCTGGATGTGCTAAAATATGCTTCATTGACAATGAGAGCCTTTTTGATTTGTAGTCACCATTGTAATGTGTGAACTGCAACAACCTCGTTACACACAATAAGCCCAACAATGTGATAATGACCAGATAGTATATTAGTCAGTGATGCCCACCAAGAGACAGTGTTGGCCATTTCACTAAAGGGAAGCCCCCTTCTCTTTTCAAAGTCACGTCCTGAACTCAATTTGCAGCCACCTCAGCGTCTGTTAAATTGTCCATAGTGTCCAAGTATATATAAGCTAGGTGTAAATGAAGGGATATGGTGGGGAGCCACGTCTGGGTAGGATGCTCTTCAAAGAGTTGGCGGAGACTCAGGGGGCTGAATGGCCTCATTCTGCAATGTAGGGATTATATGAGTTGAGGAATACAAGGTTTATATTGTTTCACTGGCTGATGTCACCAGTCATTGCATGTGGAGAGTGGAGACATAGGGCAGCCTGAACATCAACAGCACAGTTTGGCAGTAAAGGGAGAGAATTAGCGCAGCAGAGCCATGAATGAGTGGAGCACAAGGTGGTCAGCACAATTCAAACCCATGACTTCTACCATTGTGCAAGGCAGCAGATCGCTGGAAACACCACCACTGCAAGTTCCCTTTGAAGCCACACATCACTGTTCCTTCACTGCTGCCAGGTCAAAATCCTGCAGCTCCCCCACTGACAGCACTGTGGGTGTTCCTCCACCCCAAAGACTGCAGTGGCTCAAGAAGGCAGCTCATCACTGTCTTCTGAAGGGCAATTAAGGATTGGGAATAAAAGATGCCCTAACCAGCGGCAGCCACATCTTATCAACAAATAAACAAAACACTTTGTTTGGATGTTGTCCTGGAAAGATTACCACATAGTTACCTGATTCCAATGACCCTAGCCTACAGTCACCTGACACACCCCACCTCATGGGCCCCCACCTTGACAAAGCCAATTAGAAAGTGAGCTCATCATCAGATTGGATGGTTTTTGATAATCAGTTAAAACATATCCCATGCCAGTGTCTTAATAACTCAGAGGGCTTTTTTTTTTAAAAAAAGTCACCAAGTTTGCAAATGCCACCTTACAAGTTTTTGCTTTTGGTTTTGGTCGTAACATTGTCCTGGAGATCGCTCTTTAATCCACACAGTACTAGTAATGTTTGGTAGAAGACGGTGTGGTGCAGTGGTAAATCACTGGATTAGAAGTTCTGAGGCCCAAACTAATGCTCTGGAGCACTCCATGGTAATTGGTGGAATTAGAACTAATTAATCATCCTGGAATTGAAGTTTGACGCAGTGATCACGACTGGGCAACTACAGCCAATTGTAAAAACTCATTGAGTTCACCAATGTCCTTTAAGGAAGAAAATCTTCTGCCCTTCCCTGGTCTAGCCTATGTATGACTCCAAACCCACAGTAACATGGTTGATTCTGAACTGCCCTTGGAAACGCCTAGCAAACTATCTCATTCCAAGACAATTAGGGGTGGCCAATAAGTGCTGGCCTTGTTCTTCTTGTGTACATCCCATCAAAGATTGTTATTTTTTTCAAAAAAAGAAGCAAGAGCTTTATAAACTATTGCCAAAATGTTAGATTGTTGAATTTGTCAGGCCCATATATTTTTACTGTATTATGCATGTTTGTAGTGGGATAGGGTTAAGGGCAGGGCACAGAACGGTGCAATAAGTGAAGCAACATATGACTATTTGACTCTTTATGCATCACTTGTACATTAAAATGTGATATGCAGCTGCATGGTAGATTCTGAACTAGTTGTCAAAAACAAAAGGACAAATAAAACTTTTAAAAATGGACAAAACTGTGACAGATACACAAAAAGACAAACAGGTCAATAGGAAGGCAGATTCAGGTCAGAGAGAAAGGTAAATGGATAGGCAGACAGGAAGAGCACTGCTCTGTCAAAAGTCCACTGATCTCTGTTTGTGTGATAGACATTATACCCATGGTGTTGCTGGAGTTCATTGAAGAGGTATCAGGGATGATGAGGGTAATGCTGTTGACATGGTGTACATGGATTTTTAAAAAACATTTGATACAGTTGAACAAAAATTGTGGCTCACGGAATAAAAAGGACAGTAGCAACTTAGATGGAAAATGGCTGAGTAACAGGAAACAGAGTAACTGTTAATGGATATTTTTTAGGCCTGAGAAAGATTTGTAGTGGGATTCCTCCAATATTGATATTAATATCAACACCCACCTTTGCTTTGTATGGTTTATATAAATGATGCACAGGAGACAATTTCCAAGTTTGCAGGTGAGACAAAACTTAGGAGCATTGTAAACTGTGAGGAAGACAGTGCAGAATTTCAAAAAGACATTGACATGATGGTGGAATTTCAGATAGGTGGCAGATGAAGTTTCATACAAAGAAGTGTGAGGTGATACATTTTGCTAGAAAGAGCATGGAGAGACAGTTTAAAATAAATGATACTATTCTAAAGGGTATACAGGAGCACAGAGACCTGGGGTATACGTGCATAATTCACTAAAGGTGGTAAGACAAATGGAAGGAGAGGTTAATTAAACGTATTGTATTCTAGGTTTCATTGATAGTGGACTAGAGTACAAGAGCAGGATGGTGATGCTGAACCTGTATAAGACACTGATTAGACATCAGTAATGTATTATGTAGTTCTGGGCACCACACTATAGATGAATGTGAACATACTGGAGAGAGTGCAGAATATGTTTACAAGAAGAAAGATGAGAAACTTCAGTCATGAGGATAAATTGAAGAAGTGTGAACTGTATTACGTGAAGAGAAAGCTAAACAAAGATTTGATTGAAGCTTTCAAAATCCTGAGAGGTCCGGGTAGAGTAGACAGAGAGAAAATGTTTCTGCTTGTAAAAGGATCAACAGCAAGAGGGCACAGATTTAAAGTGATCTGCAAAAGAATTCAATGTGATGTTTTAAAAAAAATACCTTTTTCACACAGTGAGAGGTTTGGGTGTGGAGCACGCTGTCCAGAAGTTTGGGAGAGGTATGTTGATACAAGGTTTTCCAGAGGACATTAGATGAATACTTAACGAAAACTAGAGTGCAGGGTTATGGACAAATGACGGGAGAATGGCATTAAGTCATTAGGTTCATTTGCAGAGCCAATATAGATGTGATGGATCAAATGGCCTTTTCTGCATGTATGATAACCTGTGATTCCACATGGTATGTCATGTATGATAGATGGAATAACAGGAAAACAAAATTGAGATACAGATCCCACCATGTTTGAAGGCTCAGTGCACTGATCCAGCTCCTCCTTGCCATATGAAATATAACTTTCATAAGGGAACTGGATAAATACTATGGAGAGACAGCAAAGGGAATGGGGACTTATTGGATAACACTTTACAAGAGCTGTCACAGACACAATGCACTAAAGCCAAGGTCTTTTCCCCAGGGTAGGAGAGTCCAAAACTAGAGGGCACAGGTTGAAGATGAGAGGGGGAAAAGATTTAAAAGGGACCTAAGGGGCAACCTTTTCGTGCAGAGGGTGGTGCGTGAATGGAATGAGTTGCCAGAGGAGGTGGTGGAGGCGGATAGCATTACAACATTTAAAAGGCATCTGGATGGGTATATGAATAGGAAGGTTTAGAGGGATATGGGCCAAATGCTGGAAAATAGTATTAGTTTAATTTAGGATATCTGGTCAGCATGGACAAGTTGGACCGAAGGGTCTGTTTCCATGCTGTACATCTCTATGACTCTATGATCTCCTTTGCTCTGTGGTATTCCAAGGATTGCTGTTGCAAACAAAAACAGAAGTTGCTGGGAAAGCTCAGCAGGTCTGGCAGCACCTGTGAAGAAAAAGATCATAGTTAACGTTTCGGGTCCGGTGACCCTTCCTCAAAACTCAATGTTGTGAAGCTAGGCCCGAAGCGTCATTCAATAGAGTGGAATGCAGTGGATTAGGTACAATGGCTGGTGCACCTATCATTTAGAGCTCCCAATTTTCAGGTGATTTAAAGATAAAAAAAGTTCAGGTGGATCTTGAATTGCAAATTACCTTTCTACTCCTTGATTCAGTTTCTGTTTGAGAAAAATGAGTGAAATCTCATAACAATTACTTGCTGAGAAGTTGAAACAGGAAAAGCCCAATGACTACTGCATCACAGAGACTTAAGCAGCAGATCAATCCCGGAATAAATCTCACTGTCCATTGTGAGAGTTGCCCCTGATCAATGGATTGTGGTGTTAGTGTAACTCAACCATTGTGGCTCCAACCTCACAGTCACATGATTGAGTTCAAGTTCCACTCTCGTGACCTGAGCATCTAATTAGGACTGACCCTCCCAGTGCAGTAGTGAGGGAGTGCTGTGCAGTTGAAAGTATCTTCTTTCATTTGAGATGCTAAATGCAGGGTCCTCCCGAGGAGATGTAATAGATCCTGCAGCATCAGTTCAAAGAAGAGGGGCTGAGTTACCATTGGTGTCCTAGATGGTACTTATTCTTCATCCGACATCAGAAGAGAACACACGATCTGGTCATTATTGGCTTATAGGATCCTGCTGTGCAAAAGATACGCTGTCAAATTATTTCATTCAGACTTGGCACACAGGCGTGGCTGACATCTATTGCCCGTGCCTAACAGTCCTGGAAAATTTGGCGGTAAGCTGTCTTCTTGAACCACTGGAGATTTTGACCCAGCAACAAGGAAGAAATGGCGATATAATTCCAAGTCAGGATGGTGTGTCTCCTGCAGCATGGCAATTATGACCCTTCTGAAAAGTACTTAATTTGCTGTGAAGAACTTTCA